AAAACCACGTTGTTCAGGTCTTATCACTTGAAATACGAGTAAATGACATCAACCTCACAACAAACGTGTGTAAGATGTTTTCCCAAACCCTAGACAAAACAGGTATCAAAGTTATAGGTCGATAATTTTGCTAATTTTGTTTATCATCATTAAAGTGGTTTCACTATTGATTTTTTGAAAGTTGGTGGGAATATTGCATGTTCAAAATACCAATTAATGAGTTGTGCCAAGATAGGAGCTAATTTGTCAGCGCAGGTTTTAATAATGTTAGTAGGTATTTTATCGTATTATTAAGCAATTTGATCGTTTTTGTAACTTCATTATCATCAATGGGCGATAAGTTCAATTGTAGAACTATTGTGTTTTAACTACCCAAGGTCACATTTTTTTGATAATTTATCATATAATTTCTGTGACAACTGCGCTGCGATTGGCTAGCCCGAGTTCGAAACAATTGACGGGTGTCGTCAACTGTTTCACTTAAAATCGACCAGTTAACTTGAGCTTTGCTATAATGGACGAAAATTGCAAAATTACATATTTAATATTTAATTGCCGATGAAATGTGATTCCGTTTGTTTTGTAATTAGATGTCTTGCTGTTTTTCCCACTCCACCGAATAGAACAGCATGGCATTGTTAGAGATATTATCTTTATTACAATAAATACATAATATTTTTAGGAATATACGGAGACGTACACACAGGTCAGTAGTTGGCCTGTCTATATTTCAGTGCAAACGAGAGTCGATAATTATAAGAGATGTATCGCTAATGTGTTATCAGGAATATATGGCCCTTATTTCGTCTCTATTTCTGATTATATACTCGATGTATGCCGACCCCACTTGAATTGATTTTCAGAACCTACGTGTTCTCTTTAAATTGATAGTTGAAAAGTACTCGATTCTTGAAATCAACGATATATCTAGAGGTTTTTGCTTCAAAATTGTTCTGGACGCCATTTTGTTTTTAATACATACTTTTTGGAACGGTATTTTTATTAGTACATACCTAAAAAGGTTTTATTCGAATAAACAATCAATAAATCGAACAAATCAATTATAAAGTATAATAGAATTCTAACAAAGAGATACAAATTACAATTTAATTTATTAATGGCGGTCAGCCATTTTCATGAAATGAATGAAGTGAAATCATCATGAAATTATCATTTTTTTCGATACAAAACATTTGTATCGAAAAAAAACAGTGCAATTGGGATTGACAAACGTTTTAAGTACAAAATTTAAGAAAAAGAAATGTTATTTTTAATGTTAAGTAACATTTAAATTGATTTTTACCAATAGAAAATGAAAAAAAATTTTTGTGGTTTTAATAACCGTCGATCGTTTATTTATTTATTTATTCATTTATTGCATTCTCACACTTACATTAAGTAAAGTGGCTTGAAAATGTACACGTGATACCCTGTAAGGGCACAGCAAAGTAATGAGGACACTTACTCATTATAAAAGTAATAAAATTGTGATCATATTAAATAAATCATTACAATTATACATGTATAAGATAAATTGGGAACAAACAAAGTAATTACATAATAAAATATATTTTGTCATTGAAAAATTCTTTAATATTATAATAACTTTTGTTTATGAGGAATTCTTTTAGTTGTTGGAGAAAACTTGCGGCACAGAACAAACTTATTTCAATTTAGAAAATCGTACATTGTAGTAGTCATTGATGTAGGTTTCTGTTGTTACGTAATTTCAATTTTCGGAGTAAATAAAGTGGGATGGTTTCTAATAAATTTGCACGACTCTAGTATGTATACATACTTGGGTATATATATATTATTATTATATCATATTAATATCTATAATAATAATAAGAGTATGGGTTTGATCAGTGATATTTTTAAAAAATCTGGGTACTGACCTTCAGTGAACGATTGACCTATGAGTTTGGTATATGGTGTTATTCGTGAATACATTTTTTTATTGAAGTAGAAATTTCATCTATTGGAGATTTATTTTTTAAGTTTTTTATTACTTGTTTTCCTGCATTTTCTTCTGGTTGTCTTATAAAAATGTGTTTTCAAGCATGTTTATGAGGGGCTTTTTTGGCCGGTAGTATTTAATGTTTCCAACTGAATCACAAAAATTGTTGAATAAATTAGCAACTAATTTTGGCTCTCTTATTATTTGTGAGTTATTTATTTTAAGTTCTGTATTTTTATTATTACACGGAATTTTACTTGTTTCTTTATTTATAATTGTCCACATGGATTTAATTTTCTTGCATGATTGATTAAAATGTCTAATATTATTTATTTTTTTAGATTTGCATACCACTTTTTTAAGTATTTTAGAGTATGATTTATAACAGTTTCTTATTATTGTATTTTTAGTGTGTTATATAAAGATTTTTAAGGTTCGTTCGTTACGGAAAGATATTTTTAGTCCTAGTGTTATATAGTTTTTCTTTGGTTTGAAGCTTATTTTGATAAGTTTTTTTTGGTATACGGCTGTAGTGTTTTTTTTTAAATTATGTCATTAAATCTATCGTAGTTTTCGTTTATTTGTCTACCAGGAGCTGCAGCAAAAATTTCATTCAAATTTATTGTTTTTAATGTACGTTTGAATCTCATTTAATTTAATATTATAATTTTAAATATTTGTTTCAATAAATTTTCGTTTTGAAATTAAGAAGAAATTTATTTTTGGAGTAAAAAGAGGAACTGATATAAATTCCCCTCTGTGGTCTGAGAAACCTAACTCTTGTACTTCGATTAAGGTTCTTTTATTGGAAAAATTAGTAAATATCAAGTCTAGACAAGTTGGACTATTAGATGTTACTCGTGTACGTTGTTTTACTATTTGATGAAAATTGTACATTAACATTAGTTGGAAAGCGTTTTTTTAGCTTTATTGTTTGTCAGGAAATTCACGTTAAAATCACCACCGAAAATTATTTTTTTAATACAGTCTTTCTTATCTTGTAATTCCAAAAGTTTTTCCAAACATATGTAAAATAATTCAATTTCCATAATTCATTTCAATAATTCAATGGCCGATACAAATTTATAATTAACAAATTAGCTTTAGGTACTTCAATTGCACATATCTCGAAAATTGTCTCTAGTGATAATGATGTAATATCCAATCTTTCAAAACATTCGATTGATTTTTTACAAAAATACATATGCCACCGCCTTCATGATTTTTCCAGCAAAAATCTCTATATCATAATTATTAACTTGTAGTAATCTTAATTTTGCTTCATTCTACCAAGTTTCGGTAATACATATTAGTAGTGTATTATATTTTCTTCTAATAAAGCGACGAGAGTTCACCTCCTTGAGGTGAACCTTGTTATAGATACTCTGCATATTTTGATACAGAATGCAAAAATCAGTCGCGAAATAAAGAGTTCTTTAAGTTGTCTATTTTGGGAGACTCCTTGTTGTTGTGGTTTTCTTGAGAATGTATCTTATCTTTAGCATTTTTAGGATCCACAAGCAGTTTACCATTTCGTATAACAGCAAAGTGGCCATTTTTCCTGGTATCATATAGAGCTCGTTTCAAGTTTTTCCTCTCCTGTAGCGCTGATTTGCTTAGGTATTCGGTTACGTTGAAATCAGCTTCTTTAAACTATGTGAAGTTTTCTAAAATATACTTTCTCATCTTTTTACTAATTAGCTCAATCTTTATTGGTCTTCTATAACTTTTTTGTTTCCGATATGTGACATTTTTCTTCTATAGCCTGTAAGACTTATAATTTATTATTAGAACATCGTGAAATATGTGAACAGTGCTCTCGTAATCCGTGGAGGACGAGTGTTTTTTCATTATTTTCATGTATTTCTGGGGTGGCATGCGATGCTAATAGTTTATGCATTTCTTTTTGCATATTTTCATTTTCAGCCTGTAGTTCAGAACACCTTACTTAGTGATGCAATTTTGCAGTCGAGAATAGTTAAATCTGCTTGTAACAAAATCACAAAACAGGCAACAACTCTTATTAGTTCTGTCACGCACCGCTAGATGGCATTGGCGTCGAAATCGCAAATTCTGCATCGCGGTGTTAAGATTTTCCCTCGCGGAATGACTACTGGCGGCTATGCGAATATGAATGTAATCCAACTTACGACGCATCTAGCTCTGATTCCTTATTTGGAACTCCGCTTTAGATCTAGTGTTGGGTAGGACACGACTTGAAAAAGAGTTTGTAAGAGTAGCCTCTTTTTTGTCCTGAACCAGTACAATGTCCCACTTCAACTGAGGCGAGGCGAAGGACGTTTTGAAGCATAGCGATACATTTGAAGTCACGACTCTGTCAATGTCATTTTGCTCGTACTCTGTAGTCTGTACTGGTGTGTTTAAATGAACCTAACAAACGTGTGACTGATATATTACTTACAACTCAACACAACTGGAAAAAGTAATTGACAACTATTTGTCACTTGTATTATTCTGTAATATCTTAATGTTTCGTGAATAAAACTATTTGATCATAATAAAAGGGTATATTTAAAATAAAAAATTACATATTAAAATTTAAAAATATTTGCGACACCTTTTTTCCGCTTAACCTGTTGCGCCGTTCCACAATCACCTGGCCAGCCTTGGAAAAAATGCGCTCCGAGGGTATAGAGGTGGCTACTATGCATAGCCTTTTTAAAAATAATTTGTAGAGCCTCGGATAAGCCTCCTTTTTGGAGAACCACCACTTCGCAGGGTCTTGGGACCTAGGTAGCAATGGCTCTTCCAAGTATTTGTCTACCTCTATGATACCTCCTGACGTCGGGTTGATGTTCTTCAAAATGTCACCCACCTATAAATTTGAGAAATTTTGATGTTATTCATTTATAAATGAATAATATTTTATAATTCGAGGGACTGACACGGATGGGCTTCAAGGCAAACCACGCCTGTACTCTGCTATGGATAGAGGCGGGTGCGAGCCACCCCAGTCAATGCTTTTTCGAATTTCGCCTAAAAATATTGTCACCCACCTGTTCATCAAATTCATCCCAAATACTGCGCTTACGTTTAGATGACGGAGATGAATTTGTAGGCTCCGGTATGGTAGGATGTTGGGAATCAATGAGGATTCGCCCGGCTTGGGACTTTAAATTTGCACATGTCCTACCATATGCAAATTCGTTTGTGAACCCATATTTTTTGAACCGCGGGTCCAGAATTGTGCTCTCAGCAAAAATATTATTTTCTTCGACGCCGGCGAATCGACTATTTATTTCATGAATGAGAACCTCTGTCATTTGGGTCACTGTCGCTGGACGTGTCACCATTAAAAAGTTAGTACACTTCTTTTTAAGAGCATTTGATATTAATATAACCTGAAAATATAATAAAATCAATTAGTTACTTAAATAAAATGAATCACTAAAGTAGGTACTTACAAGAAAATCATCACTATATCTACACTACAATTGGCTATGCTAGTTAATTATTTTATTTATTTCATCATGCAGTTTAATATCAAAAAACCATAGGTACTTCTGAAATCGTAACGTTTCTTTCCGAGCTCATTTCTTCCGTTACGTCTTTAAAAAATGATAGAATTTCTGATGCAGATTCTATTATCTGAATATCATCAGACGTAATGTTGTCTACATCAGGATAGTCAATCGCAAGTGTAGACATAACGCTATTTTTTGTTTTTAATATTCTTTCGAACATTTCACAAGTGGAGTTCCAGCGTGTGTTTTAAGTTTATTCCGGCCATTACATTTTGCTATTGCTATGCTATGCAGATGCTACAATTTGTAATGGCCGGTTTAAACTTCAAAAAAGAATCATTAATAATATTGAAATATCACACAAACACACAGACATCCAAACAAAATGTTATTATAATAATTAATACTAGACATTATTAAAATATAATTATAAAATTCGTTTAAATCAGACTTACAATTTTGTTTTGCCGCCTTCTTACTCAGTAACAGATTATTAACCTGACTAATGCTCGCACTGCTAAAGGGGTACTAACGTGACGACGAGGCGACTTGAAGTAAGCGCAGAAACACGACGTCGGCGTCGACGCGGACGCGTTCTCTTTCACTCTTGGCGCAAACTCGTACGCGACATAAAATTTGAAGCAGTACATGTAAAAAAATTGAGCCGCTCTTACATTTGTGAGTCTTGTACGGGACAAATGTCATGCCTCTTGTATGTCATACTCAACACTATTTAGATCGTTACCGTTGAACCTGCTGCACTGTGCTACGCTTCTAGCGCTGCTTCCTATTTGGAACTCCGCTTTAGAACGTAACACGTAGTTGTTGCACCCTGAGCCGCTTCCTAATTGGAACGTGCGTACGGGTCCTCGACTACGTGTCGATTAGGGGGAGTCCTTTCCCACTGCACCACCGACGTTGTACATCTGTGTATGTTGTCAAATAAAAGCACCATATTGAAAACCTGGTTTCCCTCTGTAAACCACATCAGAACATACTACATTCTTTAATTTTTAACTGTTCTTTAGATATTATTTGTGTATATTTTTTAAAGGTTTCCTCTCGTTTTGTTCCCACGGATTCTTTTTGCTATATCGTCATTGTTTTGCTGTAATACGACAATGAAATTTTCAAGGTTTATTTTATCATCAACTTTCCTCGGTTGGCTTTGAGATATATTGATATCGTAGCTCTTATGTGTTTATATTTGTGAAGTGTCAGGTAATAAGGTATCGCCCTGAAAGTTTATGGAATCATCATTAGTTGAAATGAGTGATTGGTGTTCGTGTTGCTTTTTCCTTCATGTGGCGTATTCTTGATTTTTTTGTTGTAATGGATGATCTATTTGATGGTATTGCCGAACGGGTATTATTATTATCAATTTTTGGCTTTTTGGAACGACATAAGGGACACTACCAGCAGTTTAACCTTCGTTTTAGTTTAAATTTGAGAGTACCATCTGTTCACAGTACTGAGATCCGGTTGTAATATTCCCCGTCATCATCAGTCCTTCAAGATTTATAGCGAGTCAACATTTTCTGTGGGTACGTAAAATATAAAAATCGCATCATGTTACGCACAATTTTATGTATAAAAGCATATGAATATCCAACCACTACTGCTTAATTTATGATTGATCTGAAACTTTTCAACCGAGAGCAAGCATCATAGCTGATAGGTACATAGACAAACGCTTTATTAACTAATATGACACAAATGCGATTAAACACAAACACGATAAAATATGATTAAAATACAAGAGTAAAAAATAAAACATTTTGTCATAACAGCGAAAAGGCGCTGACTCAGCACATGTCTAAGTTCCCTAACGCGCTGGTTTTCAGTCACAACCAACGAGAGGGACTAAATCGTCGCCTTAGTGTGAACACCTTGTACGTGATTTCTATGTAATTTTTCAGGACGTAGATAAAAATGTGATGTAAAATGTAGTAAACGCAGTAATGATTGTTGTTATCATTTTAATTAGTTACATTATACCTCTTTCAGATACTATATTCTTTACTAATATAGTTGTTCAAGAAGTTTATAACTTTTTCTTCAACAAAAATCAGTAAAAACGTACTAAATGAAAACGCGTATGCGTTTTCACTCTAAGGTGACGAAACGTCAAAATCAAAATCAAAATAATCTTTACTTCATAGGTAAGCATTATTACACTTGAAATCGTCACATTGGTTAAACCCTACCGCTCATTCGTAAGGCAGATACCCCTGAGAAGAATGAGCAAGAACTTCTAGGGGTTGCTCTTTGTAAATTACATTTGTACGCATTCAACATTTACAATATATTTTTCGTTTTGTTTTCAAACATCAAAGATCGAGACTACCTCCATGAGCTAAACGGGTTACTACCTCGGATTTTTGTCATCCAAGTACGCAGAAGTTGTATAATAACCTTTAGTGCAAAGTTTTTGTTTCACTATAGTTTTAAGCCTCGTGAATGGCAAATTTTATATATCTACCGGAATCTTGTTATAGAAGCGTATACATTGCCCCTTAAATGAATTTGTCACTTTGTGAAGACGACTACCAAGACTATCAAGAACAGGTAGTTTATTTTTATTCCTCGTATTAATATTATGTCTGTTACTATTTTTCATAAAGAGATTATTCATGTTAACATAAATTACATTTTCATAGATGTACTGCGTGACGTTAGTGTAAGAATATTAATTTCCTTAAACTTATCTCTACGTAGAAGTTATTTTTGAGCAAAAATATAACAAACGACTAGGACTGAAAATGTTCATTGAAATAATAAATGTAATGACGTGTGAATAGTGCATCTAAAATAACATATTCGATATGTAAGTGCATGTGCGGATCTGAATGTAATAAGTGTAGCTGTAGTGAAAATTATGATTGTGAATAGTTTTAGTGTGAGAAATGAAAGTAAAAAAAAATTAGAAAGCTGCTTATCTGCTTAGCTGCGTATCTTTCGTATAAGAAAATTAAATAATTACCTACAAAGAACAAAGTTCTTTTTAATTGCACGGGATTTCCAAAATATCCGATAGCCAATTTTAGTAGGCAGTGTTCACAAACGCGATGATAACAGTTTTTCCAAATAACTATTTCTCAAATGCTTCGACACACGCGCGACACTCCTAATGGACACTAGATAGATTCTTAAAAAATCATATATTCAATAATATATAATAATAATATATTCAATCATTGACAGGAATACCTATAAAATAAAACTATTATACAACCATTGACCTGTCTGACCACTGACCTTCTTCTTCTCATCTTCTCCTTCTTTCTAGGACAAGGAAAACAAAAATAAAAAAGTATATTATAACAAAATCAAGAAGTCAAAAAATCAACAAAACTACAGCGTGTCTGATAAATAATCTCAGTACAGAGTACTAAAAAAACCGACCTTAAAAGTCATTCATACATACTATACATACTATTAGTTTGCCAACCTGGAATATTTTCTTCAAATTTAAATGGGACCACTACTGAGGTATCCTCTTTCCAACAAAAAAAAATCATCAAAATCGGTTCACAAATAATAAATAACGCACACACTCAACATAGCCCCGCACTAGGGAAACCCTGTGTCGCGGGTGCCATGGACATACATATAGACAACCACAAATTACACCCAAACTCACGAGAGAAATAAATGTAGGCCATACAAACATTTCTCCCGGCCCGGGAATCGAACCTGGGACCTCTGCGTGGCAGTCCGGCATGGTAACCGTTCGGCCACGGAGGCAGTTATTATACAAATATACAAATGGCGGAGTTATCGCGCAACATACATACAAAAAAACATATAGTCGAATTGAGAACTCCTCCTTGTTTTAAGTCGGTTAAAAATAACATTTCCATGAATAAATCTGAAAATTTTTCGACGAGATCATTTCTCTACTTTGTCCAAAAAAATGTGCAATCGTTATGTCTCCAGCAGTCAATTTCCTCTGAGTCGCAAAAGATAATTAATCTCTTTTCTAGCTTCGTAGTAATCGCCGTCGATGTTTGTTGAAGAACGCTATTCTGAACGCTTTTCATGAGAATAAGTCTTATTCTTAACAAAAAATGTAAAAGCTTCAACAGGCTTCAATCTTAATTTTTCTATGTGAATTTTGTTAAATTTGTCATGTCGGATGACATCACGTTCACTGAAAACACAGATCACACGGTAAATATTGTCTGTTTTTGGAGCGAACAACCACGATGTTGTATCTACAAGTCATTTTTCTTTTTAACCGACTTGAAGAAAAGGAGGAGGTTCTCAATTTGACTGCATTTTTACTGCATTTTTGGTTACGCGATTACACAAATCCAATAGTACCTAATAATAACGCACTCACTCATAGTCCCGCTCTAGGAAAACCCTATGTCACGGGTACCATGGACACACACAGTATAGACAACCACAAATTACACCCAAACTCAAAACTACGTATTTTTCGAGGCGAGGGCCCCGGTCTGGGAATCGAACCCGGGACCTCTGCATAGCAGATTAGCATGGTAACCGTTCGGCCACTCAGGCACTAAAATTGTTCATCCGTTATGACAGGCTAAGGCGTATAATTAACCATACTACCAGATCTTACATTTTAATGTTTCGTCAATAATTTAATTTTCTGATATTTTTTCAAGGGAAATCGTCTTTTTACGACGGCTTTTGATGGTATTTTGAAACCTAAATTCAAATCTAAATTGTGATTTACCTGCCTACATAAAAATACACGACATTTACAATGCAGGACCAAAGAAATGGAAGGAGAATAACAATCTTTTATAATGTAAATTAGATAAACATCTTCTATAGATAGGCTAACACGACATCTATAGAAGGTATTCTTTCATAACTTTACTTGAAGAGATATTGTGTTATCGGTAAATACTTATATCTAGTTATAAAGGTATTTCCGCCTAGTTCATGTTATCTGTGCGGGTCATCTATTTGTGACGTACACATACCTTTTCCTGTATCTATATATAAATTTATAATAACGTCTATTAATTTAGGTATTTAGTAGCAATAGAGATCCTTGTGAAAGAGTTCATCCAGAGAAGTACTGCCACATTACCTATTTCTGCCGCTAAGCAGTAATGTGAGCATTAATGCGTTCCGGTTTGGAAGCGTAAAGGTTGCCGGTGAAATTACAGGCACATGGGACTTTTCAACTTATTACTTAGAGTGACGACCACAGCGGCGGTGCCCATCAGATCTTTGCGATAGTACTGACTAGCACTGTATGAACAGGTGTGTCGCTTACCACCAGGCGCACGATTTCTTCGTCCCGTCACTTTACATCCCTCAATCTTATCCCAACAGGAATACAATCATTCCACATTTTAATACTCTTGCCCCTAAAATTCGTCTCACAGTCGAATCCAAGCTTAGCCTCCTATGTTGTAAAAAGGCTGGAAATGAGTCGTCGAATATAGGTGCATATACGATGACTCAATTCCAGCCTTTTTCCAAAATTCGATCTCAAAGTTCAAATCATGTACAGATAGGCTCCTGAGCCTAGACACCCACTACGCCATCTGTAGTTTAAAATATTGCCCTTTTCGTTCCTAAATTTACGTACGTACTTCGCTGCTGTCTGGCTTGGAAATATCATAATCACTTGATGTCAACAGATTCTGACCTAAAAGCGCCTTAGCCATTGTTAACGTGCCCGCTATATTCGAGCCAAGCGGGATGTCGCGAACAGAGGGCAAACGCCCGGACGGAATGACTCATCCCTTGGAGTATGGGCCGGGCACTGGTGTGGACGCCACGTGTGCCGACACACATGCTCCATCCCATCTCCAGCACTCCAGCAAGAGGACTGGCTCCGCAGCTGAGCTGGCGAAAAGAATAAAAAGTAATAAGTACCAGGATCTCAGGTCCGACTACCTATTTACAGCCTTTGGAGTCGAAACCCTTGGCCCGTAGGGTCCCTTCATCTGTACAAAATTTTATCGAAAAAATTAATAGACTGTTTTGGAAACCCAAGGGCCGGCAGCTACCTTGCCAACGCATAAGCATAGCAATACAAAGGGGGGACGCTGCCAGCATCGCGGGGACCCAATTTTATTCATATTTATTTAAAAATCCTAGTTTTACTTTCTAGTATTTAAACTCTTATTGTGTTTTTTACCTTACCTGTATATTATCTATATTCGTAAACCTGAATGAATGATGAATCGGTACTGTTGAATAGGCACAATAAACAGGGTTACTAGAAATAATTACATTTATCTTGACTTTATTACTAAACAACTTTTGCGCTTTAATTGCCCGATATTGTGTTCCCTATCTATTGACCCAAGAGACAGGGTATTCTCGCCGGCAAGACCAGGGTACAGCAGCCGTCCGGGCCAAGCCCTCTGCCAGTGACACGCCTTCGCAGGCTTCTCTGGCGGACCCGGACTTAGGTATGGACTCGCTGGGGTTTGAGGTTTTTCGCTGGACAATTTTGTCTGCAACTGTGGTGTGTAGCCGGGGAGTCTGTCACGTGCGCAGCTAGTGCGTCTTATAACGGTCTAGTTGAGAGCCTGAAGCGGGGAGACGCGTGGGGCACATGAGTTGCCCTTTAAGTTGGAAGCTATGTCCGGACATTGTCGCAGCACACTGCGACTGGCACCTCCGGCATTAGCCCGAGGAGCTAATAGAGGATAAGCTAGATATCCTACGGTCCCTCCAGCCTCTTAGGTTATTGGGAACTGGAGAGACGCTGTTTTTCAGCGTCGGGAAGTGAGCGTGACAGCTCCGCCACCAATGAGGAGATTTGGTAGTAGACTTTAGAGTCGACGGCTTAGTGGTGGCAACCGCTAGTTGTGCAATGCGCAACGGGAAGTGAGCGTGCCTACCTATAGCTCCAGTACCTATCCGGGAAATAGGGAGGATACTGTACGTGTTACTGCATCCGAGGCGGCTCACCCGAGGCACTAGCGTTTTGAGAACCGGATGAAGTCAGTGACAACGGTCTGTGACAACCCTGTACACTGATTTTAATTCAAATTGAAATCGATCCGATCGGGTAGCCCATCCGCAATATGAAAAGACGCAGTTTCCGGTCGGGACAGGCAATCAAAATCAAGCTGCTAAGGTGAGAACCTGAACTTATAAGGTTGCTGTGCGCGCACAGGTTGTAGTGCCCTTCCCGCATAACCAAGAGGTTGATAGGGAGGGTCACTATAATAAAAACTTATGTAGAAAAGGTATGGGAGCTGCCCAGTATTGTGCTAAGAGTAAAAAAGGTGTGTAGTCCAAAAACAAAGTAACGCGGTTTTCAAATGTAGCCGACGTTGTGCTCGGATCTAGCCATAACTTCAGGTACTAATATAAATCACGACGGTTCCTCTTCGCCTTTTGTTGTTTATGTGCATTTCTAATCGTTATCAGCAATTAAACGCAAGTTCTAAAATACAACAATGAACAAATTAATGAAATGCTTCATATAACTATAATAATGCAATTACGAAACTGAGCTTGACGAAGCACTTATCGTGTAAATGGCGCAACATCCATCGTACTAAGGAGAACAAAGAACCTTAGCAAGAAAACTAATAATAAACTAACGGAGAAGTAATCAATTATTTGCTATGCAAAGTGCGGGTCTAATTATGTTTTTACTAAAGCTAGTTCTCGTGGGTACCTACAATCGCCAGGTGAAAAAATTGTCGCACATTTTTTACTTTAGGTTGAAATATAGCCATAGACTTCACTAGGTAGCGATAGCGACTGCTGCGAAAATACACAAAGTTTTGTTGACACGTCATAAAATTTAAATAAAATTATAAAACCATTTACTACGGGTCTGAGCTGGCCCTGGTGTTTGCACGCGGTGGTAATGCAGTTAGCGTTTACTTACTTAAAAATAATCACGAGGATGGAATGATGTGTGTGTTGGAGTATTTTTATAATTATGCCAGGCTGTAGCTGAAAATCAGCGGCGGAGTTTATTACAACGCCATTTAGCTGAGCTACAGACCTTATCATCTCGTCAACAAATATTGTCATTATTTATCTATTTATTTATACATGTTAGTTTTATTTTGCAACTTGTAATGTATTTTTTTTATTTTGTTGATGTGTTCATTTTACTTTATTACTGTTGAGATGATTAAATGCTTTTATTATTATTATTATTATTATTTAAAAATCCATTTTTTGTAAAGTTACAAAAAATACAATTGCTTTAATGTAACACCATATGAGCGATTTGTTTTTAGAATCGGAACTTAATCGCGTATAAACCCCGGGGCGGTCCTTTCAAGACCATGGACGTGGGAACACGTCCGAAACGTCGAGGTAAAATATGTTTATACACGATAGAGTTCCGGTTGGAAAATCAAATATAGTATCTAATAAAAACGTTGTTCGTTTGGCGCTGGCTGCATCTCGCGGGAAACGGGAAGGAAATACCATGGTGGTGCACTTACGTCATTGCCGCAATGTTAGTGTTTACATTCACAATAATTATGAATACCTAAGTATCGGAGTATACCAATTGGTCCGGTGCAAAATTTGTAGTAAAAGTACATTTAAATGGAGAGTGTCACACGACTTAAGGAAAAGTAAAAGTCACGGTATTACGGGAGCTAGTTTATTGTGTAGTCTAAAGTCTGGTACAAGAAGAACCTATTATGGGAACCTATTATTGGTATTACTACAATGAAGCTTATATACTAATTAAAGTAACAATGAACGTGCTAAAAGTTGCAATTGTACAATTTAATAAATAAAGTTACGGAAGGCAAGGTGCAAACTCTAACTAATCTAGGTAAAACAAACATCTGAGGATGCATCCTTAAGGGCGCATGTCCACGCTAAGAAAAGTTGCCGGGTCTATGCAAGAAATCATGTCGTTTCTACACACGAACTGTGTACACTACCTCGGCGCCGGACAAGAAAAAAATCTTGTCTACCCCCGACTTGACGCGCTCTGCCGCTATTGTTCGGGGCCATAGTAATGCACCTATATCGGTAAATCGAAAAATAATTAGTAGACTCGTTAATGCACTGATACGTTTACCCTACACACGCCTGCCGGAAAGAATTCGTATAGTGTACATACTCGTCATTTCCTGGTCTGCAACAGACATGACATATTATCATGGCTAGATCCGACAAAGTTCTTGTCGTGTACAAGACCAATCTCATCTTTTCTGTAGCAGACACGTCAAATTTCTTAGCGTGTAGGTACGATCGATCGATCGATCGATCCTTAGCGGGAGCGATCCTAGTTAGTTCAATCGGTCAACTGAACTAGGTCGGTCTTCTAGTTCCTTAGTTAGTTAGTTCGTCTTGTCCTTGCTCGGACATTGAACGAACGCTCCAAACTAGTCATTTTATTCACATGAACTACTACGGACTTCTAGTATTATGAGATCAATACTACACTGTACTAAATATTTAAAAATACAATTTGTATGGAATCGGTACTATTTGATTTTCCTACATATTTTACAGGTTTAAAGACCGTCATTTAAACTAAATATTCTTTTTTTAGAAAATAAGAATTTTAGTTACAATGGTGTGTTTAAAAATCAATATTTAGGTACAACTATTTTGATATACTCATACACGTAGGTTGATATTATACATACAGGTGCCTACTAAAAAATATTACTTTTTTGCAATGCTTGTATATATATACATAATGTAGATACGTATTAGAGATTTAGAACGAGCTAGGAACGTTCAATCGTGCATCCCACTCGAACTTGTACTAAAAGTAGTGAAAGATCGCTATTTGTCCCGCTCGCACCGTTCCTACTGTATAAAAGACAGGTAAAGTATCAACGCAGACAGTTCCTAGTTCGTACTGAACGAAAAAGAACGATGAACTATTAAAACCATGCAAGACGAAATAGTTCATGGCGGTCAGTGTTGGGAATATATTCCTAATAGTTCGTAGTTCATGAACTATACAAGCCTAGTGTACATGCGCCGTAACTCACGCGCCGCGGCAAGCGATTATCGTATCAAATGTTTACATACACGCAAGAACTAAAATCTCGCCTAAGATTATGTCATACGAAATTCGCAAGTAACTTATCGCCTACTGCAAATGTTTACACTGCGAAATCTATAGCAAGTAAATTCTTACTTGCGAGTTCTCGAATTATAATTTGTATAAAGACATTCTGAGCGTATGACATTTTTGAAGTTACGTTAAGTACTATACGAGTACCTATCGTATTTGAACCTTTTTGAGTGCGATATTTACCATTCGAGTTCAGTGATTATTTCGGAATTATTCTATTTACACGGAAACGTTAAATAGGTAATGGCGAGGCGAATTTCAACCTCGTGGAAGGGTGATAGCTAATCGCGGAAGTTTACACGACGAAACTTTTATTCTTTAGATAATCGTATTTTAGATACGAGAAACTCTCTCCGCGTAAAAACGCAGCTCCTAAGCACGGCCACACGCCGTTTTAGCTAGGAAATTACAAATTCAGTAATCATGTAGGTATATCATTTATTATTCAGTGACGTCAAAAGAGGAATATTTATGAACAAGGTAGGTAGGTGTTCAAGTAAAAACTCTATAGATTTAAAGCGTATTTAATCCTGTCTGTAACTTTTAACAGCAACTAAACAAGTATAGGGTCGTTTATGAAAAAGTTATGATGATGGAACAAAAATCAATGTCAATATGGTAATTTTTTAAACGGGGTAGTTACATACTTAATAAGTAAAATGGTAATTACTTATTTTAAGCCAGTTTAGCGGTCCAGGTATTTGGACCCTTTATAGGGAGGTCCCTTTAAAGGAAACCTGTGCCCAACAGTGGGACGTGTAAGGGGTTGATGATGATGGTGATAACGATATTGATGATACAGTTACCTGCATTTTTCATCCAATGGAATTCAATGACACAACAACATAACCATTGCACACTTTTTAATTAAATAAATATTTAAATACCAGATCGTACAACCAAGTATAAACTATATGTTCTTACTTAAAAACAATAAATATCTTTTTCCAAACATAATAACGGGTTAACTACACAGTCATGGTAAAACCACAATAAAAATACACATCTAAGCCTATCTATGTTATTTATTAAATATGGGTTGTAAATTGGATATGTTTTCACCACAAAACAAGACCATTATTACGCTTGAAACCAAAAAGGGGTTGAGAGTCAAGAATTGACACGCATCGGCTTTGCTATACTAAATATGTTTTTAAGTGTGAGTTTGTGGCCACGCTTTAACGTGAAGCGTTCTGACGTAAAAATATCACAAAAAAAATAAAAAATACCCCATAAAAAAACGTTTAACGTTTTGCCTAAGCCAGATCAATGATGGACCGAGTTAGTCTAGATGTCTACTTTGTAAATGAATTGAAATAAGAAATAACACCGTAAATCACAATTGATTACCATTTCAATTAAACAAAAAAAAATTTGACACTACATAAATGGAGTAAGTTACGATTTTCAAGGAGGAATTTTCACACAGTGTAGATATTTAGATGTGGCCCCTAAAATATAACTTTACATTAAGGATGTATTTCATAATTTATAAATTGAGACTACAAATGTGGTTTTTTTTATTTTTGGCAAAATATGCAATTTGGCAATAAATTATATATTTGATACATGTTGTAAACCTAGTTGTAAACCTATTGTGAAATTTTTGTAACACATTGTCACATAACCTATACTAAACAATGAGATTACAAACCCCTTTTTATAAAATTATAGGTGGACCATTCTTAGAAGGTTAAAAGTCTTTTTCGCAACCAACAGTTAGGAAGAAATATGAAGTGCATACTTAATCTAGTTGTAACCATTAAAACTTTAAAACATAAATACAAGTTTAAAAACAAGATTTAACTACTTTTGGTCAGTGAAAAAACACAGTAAATTCGACTTAAATACAAGAGTCCCAGTAACTCATAGAACACTTTATAGTTTTTTATCTGTCTTTTCAAAAATAAATTAAACAATTTTAAAAGTTTGCCATGATATTCGAGGTAATCTAACAACAGTACAATAAATAAAAGCTTACAATCTCCTGTCATATGTACGCCTCCTTTGGTCATCTATTTTAACGAGGTAGTATGTACCAGGGAACAATGAATCTAAAGACCCAGACGGTTCATAGGGAGCTGTATGATAATTCTTGGTCCGTATATCCATTAATTCTGAAAATTTACTAGGTTCAACAACATGTCTTTTGTCTAACATAGACACAGATTCGTGAAGCGAATTTATCAATTTCTCCAACTTAGAACCTACACTCATGTCTTTACAAATGTTTATGGAGTACATAGTTGATGCAAGCCCAGATCCATAGGAAAACAGAGCAAACTTCTTCCCAATCAGTTGATCAGGTGACTTACTGATGAGATATGATGCAAGGCCTCCATATAAAGATGCAGTGTACATGTTACCAATATTTGTAGCTACATGAAGAGACGGTTTAGTTTTTTCATTGAATAAATCCTGACTATGCTTCATAAAAGCTTTTTCTAAGTCACGGTCAAAGTATGTCTCTTCCCTTTTGTGATTGCTAAATTCTAGTAATCCAGAAAAGTTCTTCTCACGTACTTCCTTAGATGCATTTAAGAAATCATTAAAGCACAACCTTGCTAGTGACTTCTGCACTAATTTGCAGTATGGGGTATGGAACAACATACCATCTAAGCTCAACAAACCCTTAAAATTTGTGTCAACTTTTTGCATTTTCTTACAAAACAAATTATAACAATTATCTAAAGCACTAAGATAGCATTCAATTGATAATTTCCCATCTAAGTAGGGGAACTCTGATGATAGATCTGGCTTGTAAAAGTCAAAAACATGCCTCATGTATGATGCTCGTACTCCACAGTCAAATACTAAAGGTGCATCAGGTCCAATCAGCATTGCTACAGCTCCAGCCCCTCCCGTAGGTCTCGCAGGCCCTTTGTTATACACAGCCACATCACCAGCTATCACTATAGCGTTCCTCCCATCCCATGAAGAAGATTCCACCCAATTGATGGCATTAAAAAGAGCAGCTGTACCACCGTAACAGGCATTTGTTGTATCAATACCTTCAATATCAGTGGCACCCTCCTTCTCAAACAAGCTCATAAGAAAAGTTTTAACACTTTTACTCTTATCAATTATGGTTTCAGTACCAACCTCTAAGCGACCTATATCATGCAGATTCAAGTTGTTTCTCTCAATGAGCCGTTGTAAAACCGTGAGGCATATAGAATTTATGTCTTCCCTATCAGAGCAGAAAGCCATTTTTTGCTGACCGAGTCCTGTAGTATATTTACCGGCGGACACGTTGTCGAATTTTTCCAGTTCTGTTTGGTCTACGTACTGCGACGGTACGTATAATTCCATAGCTAAAATGCCGACGTTTTCGCGTTTAGTGCCCATTGTTGTGATATGTGCGGTGGCAATAACTTTCACGATCAAGGTGAGCGCGAGTGTCGCGACGCGTCGCTGGTACAGACTGAACTGATGCCCCCTCCAGTGATGCCGACGCTCCGTACTCAACACTCGTCTGATGCTACGTCAGCAGCCAGTTTCTCGCTAACCGACGTACCATTGACCTACTACCGGCCTAATAACCAGCTTTCTTTCCTTCGTACATTATTTTAACGATAACTCTATAAATGCTGCGCGGAATCGATTACCGCGCACATGAACGTAAGCTACAACAATCAGGGTCAAGTTCCTTGTGGACAATGTGTTTTGTTCGAGGAATTTCAATAAATAATTTAAATATGAATTTATTTAACCTACCTTACACATGACTACGGTTTACTCAAACTTTTTGACAGCTGGACGTCGTGACCTACAAACGTCGTAGATATGGGAGCGTTCGCATTAATTAAAAAAATTCAGATATGTTTTCCAAAATATTTTCTTTGATATTTCATTCAGTGTTGTTACTATTGTTATATGTTGCACTTAATTCAATATCAATCAATCATTAATCTATGCAAATTAAGTGCGCTGTTGATACAATCGTGAAGGTAAATAATATCGAACTCGAAAAAAGAATTTTTTAAGCCTATGTTGTTTTCGCCATCGATTTGATTGAGTAAACCTGTTGAAGATACACGAAATTCTTTAGAGCATCGACTTTCACCGTTTAACGGGTTGCGGGCCTAGGACAAGACGAAAATGTCCTACTTGTGAACGTCACCATTATTAGATCGATGACCCGCACAATACGGTTCACTAGATCGAAAAACTGAGGAGACAAAATGCTTTAATAATTGATGCCCGGCTTCGTTATTTCAAATTAAACTACCATAACTTCAGAAAAGGCGCTAGCTATATTAACATAAAATTTTATTGGACACTTATGTCCTCTTAACTAGCGCTAAGCATAAGTACTTCATAACGTAGTGCTTAAATTGATAAGGCACTCATAACACAATGCAATAAGAATGTCTTTTGCATTGCAAGCATTGGTTTATAACGTCATTAGTTCAGTACAAGTGTACCGCAGCGTCGTTGTATCTAGGGGTAAATCTAGATGAAAAATGTACACACAATGAAATTGTACTCGATCATGTTATATTTGGACGCAAAAAGAATATATTTTTAGCAACAAATTTTAGTCATGTTTCTGCTGAATTGTCCTTAAACAACCTAACGTGAATTACATGTCCAAAAATTTGGCTGCTTTTCAGGAATTGTGGTACAACCCAAATTATTTCCTTTTTGACTTATTACTGAGATTTGTTCAGAAAATGATAAATTTTGTTGTGAATGGGACACCAAACTTTTCATTGGTTAAAATAATAACATGATAACCTTGAGCTGGTCTACGATATAACAAATTTGCGCGGCAGACAGTCTCACTTTCTTTTAAACCATCTTCCTAATGAAATAGATACTTTTGAGATAGGCCGCTATTCTATGTACGTACTTACCATAAAAAGGTACACAAGTAGGTTCTACCTTGACCAGTTTATTAAGGTTCTATTATAATAAACGTAAAACGTAGTTGACAAAGTAATATATTGAACTGAATTATACACTATACTAGGTACGCAGTGACAAAGCCATATGTACCAAAAAAACGTAAACAACCTTGCACCTTCGTACACATAGGTACCTCTTACAACTATTTCATTTTTTGCTAAATATTTGCGTTAAGGCGTTATTCTCAATAAGTAATAAAACATAAATAAAATTTATTTATTAGAATAAACATAATCATCACAAAATTTAGATACTGAGCTTGAGTCTATTACGTTTAATTCTTCTTCGAAATACACCGCTTTATAAAATTTTACTCCCGCAAAATTAATAAACATCTATAATGTGACTAAACATATAGATAAGTGAGAGAGTTCAAGAAAAAACACAAGGACAACCAAAGCACTTGGCAGTATTAGGTACACCGAAATGATTCTCATTTGCTTTTATAAACCAAATAACTTGTTTACAACACTAAAAAATAAGTAGAGGAAGTCAATTCAAAACAGCCATAGAAGATGATAAAGAATACAAAGAACATAAAACTGCTGAAAATCCAAAAAAATATTATTATTTTTTATTTGTTTGTATGATGTTTTTCTACGAGCAGATTTTTGTTGATAACCAGATATTCCAATTAAAAGTGTCTATCACATTTCTCACTGCATTTACTGTAATCTCCTTCTACAATTATTAATTTCCGCATTGTTTACGTGTCAGCTTTGCCCAAAACCTAGTAACCGCTTTAGGCAAGCCCTCGAAACCGAAGATCTTACCACAAACACGTACGTATCTTTAGGCAACATCACAGCCACAGACATATATAGACGCCGCAAGTACAGCAATTTGTATGAAAACCAAGCGTGCCACATTTTATGTATCTACCATGACGTCACAAGAACTATTTCGTGATGGGAAACCTCATTCCGCGTTAAATCGATTGATACACGTATTCCTTTCAATTAATCGATTCAAGTATTAGTTGATTACAAGTAGTCGTGAAATATTAATGCAATAGAAAAATACCAAAACAAGATAGTTATGTCCTTTATTAAAAGTTGTTTAAAAAAAATTTGATTACTGATGAATTTAAACTTTAATTTTTAATAAACTTCAAATATTAAAATGATTATCCTTGAAATAATATAAGCTTTTTAAATAACTGTCTTTTTGTAATAGAAGATCTTGTCGATTGACTTAAATAATTAAAACGCACGTCAATATATGAACTTTCAACTTTAATTAAATTTACTAGATGGTTTGCCCGTCGGTGATTGATCAAATTGGTGAATGGAAAGACAACTGAAAATGTTACTGCTGACAAAATATCTAAAATCTTACTAAAGTAACTTAAGGTTTACTTAATGTCGGCCTCGTGTAAAGTTTTTGTGATTTGATCATGATTCTAAATAGAATAATTTTTGTTCAAGTATTTGTTGACTACAAGTAGTCGGTATATTTATATAGTAGAAAAATATTAGAATAAGATAGTTTAGTCCTTAATTTTACCTTAAAAAAAGTCAGACTTTACTTTTTAATCGACTTCAAATACTAAAATTATTGTCCTTCCAGTAAAATAAGCTTATTATATAACATCTTTTTGTAATAGAAGATCTTATCGATTAACTTAAATAATGAAAACGCACCTCAATGTATGAACTTGCGACTGTCTTAATTAATTTTACTAGATAGTTTTCTGTTCGTAATCATTGACTTACAAATAAATGGACGACGGGTCTAATACAAAAACCACGAAAAAAATGTCCCAAGTCAACCTATTCGAAATTTAAATTGTAATGTCATCGCAGTATCGCGCTGTCAGTAGAACAAATGAAGACTAAAGCGGAGTTTGGCGCTCTGTATACGATTTTAGCGCCTTACAAGTGCGGACACTTTTTTGCGCGGACCCGACGTCCATATAATTGTAAGTCAATGTTCGTAATTGATCAAATTGATGAATGGCAAGACAAATGAAAATGTTACTACTGACAAAATATGGTAACATCTTATTAATCAGAAGAGGTTTACTTAATGATGGCCTCGTGTGAAATTTTTGTTATTTGTTTATTATTTCTCGGATTTCTAATTCTGCTACTCTGCATAATTGAATAGCATCTTAGGTGGGATAAACTAGATCAACTTCGTCCTCGAAAGCAATGAACTCATACATATGACCTACTCCAGGTTTTTGTAAAGACTATCCCACTGTTAATTCTTTGCATTATATATTTTTGTATTACTCGTAATAATTAAATAATAGTAACAATTAATAAATATTTATTTGCTCACTATATTCGGACAGTCGAGGCAACGTGCTGCAAAAATTATCGAAATTACAGATACTACTGATAACAGATACTACAAAACTGAAAAAAAAACGAAACGTTACTAAACGTTATAACAAAAGAGTTATAGAATATTTTTATAATATTGCTAAGGTCATTATAATTTTCGTATAATGGCACAATTATGCATTTTTTGCGTTTGCGACTGGTGTTTACCTACGATAACGGTCGAGCGCGTTCTGAAGTGTAGCAGCAGCAAGTAAATGAATTTCACTTACTTTGGGCACGCGAAGTACGTACACTTGCGGCGTCTATCTAGATATATGTCTGTAATCATATCACTGTAAGTAAATTCCGCTTTGCGAATTGTGTCGTTTTTATTCACGAACGCTAATGCTTGACCGTTACTGACTTCACGGCACCAAATTTCCTGCAGGTAAGTAGAATACAAATAAATGGATTAATTTAACCCATTCTTATTTACTCCCGAACTCCACACACCGCCTCATTTAAAATAGTAGTTACCGTTCATATACCAATAAATAAGTGTTGAACAATGAAGTAGCAATTAAAATAAAAACTTTTAACTTTGACTTAATATAGCCTTAATTAAAGTGAAGGAAACAAAACAAAATGTAAATTTTAGATTTTGTGACAAATAAAAAATGGCTGAAAATTTCAAAAATTGTAATCGTTTAACATTGATTACGTAAAAGAAAATTTTATTTTTAATTAGTTCAATTTAACGAAATATACAAGAACGCAAAATCAACCTCGAACTTCTCGACATACTATTTATACATGTATACATGTGACGCTCTATAAGTTTCTGGAATAAATAAGAAAAAAATACTATAAATGGTCAGAAATGAATTTATTGTTTCTCAAAATATTCTCCGTTAGCGTTAATGCAATTTTTTATACGAATGAACCAATTTTGAAAACATTTATGCCACTCCTCCGTGACAATCTCTGAAACATATTTTTCATACTCTTCGACTGCCTCTTCGGGTGATGAAAATCATTGACCGCGTAACTGGTTCTTAATTTTTGGAAATTAATAAAAGTCACAAGGCGCCAGGTCGGGACTGTACGCGGGATGGCTCATAAGGTCAACGTTGTTCACCTTCAAAAAATCATTTGTCTGTCTGGCCGTGTGAAAACTGGCATTATCGTGGTGCAAGATGGTACGGCGTTTACGGTTATTTTTACGGAGTTTGTCAATAACTTCCGGCAAACAAATGGTCGTGTACCAAGCACTATTCACGGTACAACGATTTTCCAAAGCAACAGTAGCTACGTGTCCAGTTTTATTAAAAAAAGAAGCAATCATCCGCTTAGAGGCACTTTGTAAAAGCGGGACATTCTTAAGTATTTTCGGGACAGCGGGATACGAAGCTTAAAAACGGGACTGTCGCGTTTAAAGCGGGACGTATGGTCACGT